AGGATTTTTTTTTTTTTTTTTGGTTTAGCTGTTTTGGTTTATTTACTGCTTTCGAAAAAAAGAAAAAGAAAAAAAATTGTTTGAGATAAATGCTTCGATGACTCATGATGATGAAAGATGGTCGATGTTTAATGATGAAATTGCTTGCTTTATCTTGATTTTGATCTAATTTTGGTGAGCGTTTGATTCAAAGTGTCGTAGGAAGGAGTCATTGTTAGGAATCTCAAATTATGCGTTGCTTTGGTTGAAAGTTTTGTGTTTTAAAATTTGAGTTAATTGATGATATATCATATGCTATTCGGTTTTAGAACTTGCCTTAGGAATTTACAAGTGAAATATTAAATTGTTGAGCAATTTGGGAAGTGATTTGGGCCATCTTTGAACCGTTTGAGCCTTTCAAGCTTACCTTTAAGTTTTTATCATTCGAACCTTGGTTGAGCCTCGGAGAAACGGGGTTCTTTCTTTTAGCCGAAATAAAGTGGGTAGATTAGATGGTGATTTCCTGATAAATTTTCCCTTGGAGCTTGGTTGAAAAAAAATTGTTACGTTTTTTCGTAAAAAAAAGGAAAAAAATAAAGATAGAAGTGGAAGAAAGGACTTGAGAAAGATTTTAAAGTAAAAACTCGAACCATTATGTTAAGAGCAAAAGTGGAGACTTTTGAACTCTTAACAAATCGAGTTAAGAAATAAGTCCTTTGAGGTGAAGAAATGAGTCCAAAAGCTAAATCTTAGCAAAAACACCTCTAGTCAAGAATGAGAGTTAAAAATTCCATCAAGTGCAATTCTTAGTGACTAATTGTGAGATGAAAGGAGAAGAGTAGCCAATGATCCCAATAGCTCAATTATTTGATACTAGCCGAGTAGAGAAATTTGGTGAGTCTTTGGAGTTGAATATTATTATGTAAGTATTTCTCCATTTTTAATTTGCAAATATGGGATACTTGAGCGATAGCATGGTTTGTGGTTTTTGGCAAGAGTGAGTGAATACGTATCTTTAAATTACGAGCTTGTAAATTTTTGAGAATTGTCTTGATAATTGCAAGTTTTGAAAACATGAAAGTTGACCATTAATCTATGTGATGAGAGGCACTTGTTGAAAGTGTTGCTTTGAGAGTTGCTAGGTTTTGCTTGAGGACAAACAAAAGTTCAAGTTTGGGGGTGTGTTGAGTGTATATTTTACACTCAATGTATACTTTCTTACGAGGATTTTTGTATACTTTTATTGATTTAATGGTGCTTAATGAGTGGTGAAACACGAGGATTTTCACGAGTGTTTTTAACTCTCTTATTTTCAAACCAAATTTTAGTTATGGTTAAGTGCTTAGTGGGCTAAGTAGTGCTTAGTGGTTAAATTGTGGATATTATCTTAACTACTAAACTAACCCACTAACCCATGTTCTTGAGTGCTCTTGTAGTAGGTTTTCTTGCAGATCATGGGCTGAGGAGTGGAAGCTTGGAATTTTTATAAATACCGACTTCAAGACTCAAGGAAAATTGATCGATTCCAAGAAATAAACACCGAGAGCTGAAAAGAATACATGAGTGTTTTAGTGTGTTTTTAGAATCGGTTGGTTGTACTCCTCATGAGTACAATCTTTGTAGTCTAGATTGTTTAGTATATAGTTTTTATGTTTCTAGACTTGGTTGTAAGAATGATCAAGATAGTGATTCATTCATAGGGGTTCGAAGAAACAAAAATCGAGAGCTGAAAATAATTCACGAGAGTTTTAGTGTGTTTCTAGAATCTGTTGTACGTACTCCTCACGAGTACATTCTTTGAAATCTAGAATTTTTAATATTTATCTTTTTGTTTCTGTATTTCAAGTAAGAAGTCAATGAGTCTTTGATACCAAGCTCTAGGAGCTTGTTTAACACCATACAAAGCCTTCTTAAGCTTGAACACATGATTAGGCTTGACAGAATCTTCAAAACCCTTGGGCTGCTCTACATATGCTTCTTCATTTAAAACACCATTTAGAAATGCACTTTTGATATCCATTTGATACAATTTGATTTTAAGAAAACAGGCTGTAGCAAGAAGTAACATAATAGATTCAATTCTAGCTACTGGAGCAAATGTCTCATCAAAATCTATACCTTCTATCTGAGTGTAACCTTGTGCTACTAACCTAGCCTTATTTCTATTAACTGTACCTTTTTCATCAGTTTTGTTTTTGAAGATCCACTTAGTTCCTATCACATTTACATGACTTGGTGTGGGAACTAAGTACCAAACATCATTCCTGATGAACTGATTCTGTTCTTCATACATTGCATTGATCCAAAACTCATCATTCAGTGCTTCTGCAATATTCCTTGGTTCGACTGAAGATACAAAGCAAGTAGTTCCAGTTAGTGCACATTTAGAAGATAAATTTGCAAATCTTACCATATCTCTGTAATTCACCCTCTCTTTTCTTCTGGTCCTTATCCCATCAAAGATATCTCCCATAATTTGAGAAGAGGGGTGATTTTTCTGGATTCTACTTGATGGTTCCTTTCTGCAGACATCATGAGTTAGCTGCATTTCAGCTTATGTGCTCTCCGTAGGAAGTATTGAGTCAGATGTGGTAACACGTGGCTCAACACCCTCTTCTCTTGATACTGGACTGTTTATGTCTGGAGCATCAGTGGCAGTAATGTCTCCTCCGGTGGTTTCTCCTTCAGCAATCAGGTCATCAACTTCATCTTCAGCTATTTTACTGCGAAGATCAGCAAAATCATCAAATCCCAGATTTACAGATTCAATAATGGTTCGAGTTCTTAAGTTATATACTCTATATGCATGACTGTTATTAGAGTATCCCACAAATAAACTCATTACTTTTTGAATCAAATTTAGCCAGATGGTCTCTGTCATTTAGGACATAGCGAACACATCCAAACACATGCATGTATTCTAGATTAGGTTTCTTACCATAAAGAATTTCAAGTGGTTTATTGTATTTTAGGTACAACTTGACGATTTGGGAGTTCCAAGGATGAAACGAGCCAAAAAAGGTCAAAAAACGGGCAAAAACTGAAGAAAACAAAAATATGCTGAAAATTGGCCCGGCGCGGCCGTGCTAAATTTAGCCTATTTTTGGCGCGGCCGCGCCAACTGCGGAATTTGGGCAGAACGTTTCGGCGATTCTCGCGCGGCCGTGTGAGAATTGCACTGATTCTCGCGCGGCCGTGTGAAAACACGCTAGAAACAATTTTGGACTTTTAATCACACAAGAAAACCTAAAATCTTCTACCAAGTTGGGACATCTATCTAAGGGCAAACCAAACACGAATCAAAGGACTTTTTTCAACACAATCTTAGAGGAGGAGGAGCGAGAGAACGGAGAAACGCAGACGAAGACCTGACGAATCTTCCTCATAATTCTTCTTTCATCTATCTTTTCTAAATCTATGACTTTTATTACTTTTATTATGTTTTTCGTAGAAAACATGAGTAGCTAAGTTTTTAATCTAGGATTTTGTTGGAACCCTATGTGGGGTGGTGAACTCGTTTTCTTGAGATTATGCAATTATGATTTTATAATTATTTCTTCTAGTTGTTATGATTGTTAGTGCATGAACCTGATCAATTTATGTGCTTTATCTGTGATTATTGGGATTGACTCGACATAGCTATTTTGATAATTAGACGGTAAGTAAAACAGCCTTCGAGTAGTTTTCACCGAATGAGTGTGTTAATTGCATGTGGTATCGTAGACATACATATATTCACCTTAGGTAATCATTGTTGAGACTTATGCTTTAATGCTTTATTCATGATCGGATTGCATAGACATATAGTAATTTGGTTTTGGATAATAGAATTATAATACACGCGACTGAAGTCATCATAGACCCTAATCTTAGATACACACGATTTGAGATGTGATAGGCTGTGTTGACAGCCTCAGCCCAAAACCTTTTAGACAGATTTTTTGCACTCATCATTACCCTAGCCATCTCCTGGATAGTCCTGTTTTTTCTTTCAGCAATACCATTTTGCTGAGGAGTTTTTGGAGCAGAAAATTCATGCTTTATACCCTTTTTATTACAAAAAGTAAGAAATAAAACATTCTCAATTTTTTTTTCATGATCAGACCTTATTCTTCGAATAGAAACTTGAAATTGAGTTCTAACAAACCTGTACAAATTTCTGAAAACTTCAAAAGTATCAGATTTTTCTCTTAAAAAAATACACCCAAGTATATCTTCAAAAATCATCAACACACACAAATACATATTTTTTACCACCTAGACTTTCTATCTCTACAAGACCCATAAGATACATATGTACAAGTTCAAAACAAATGGTGGTACCAACGTGTTGTAACACTTTGTGTGGCACTCCAGTTTGCTTTCCCTTCAGGCACATTCCGCATATAGGAATGTCCTCAATCTTGAGATCTGGAATTCCTCTTATGGCATTGTACTTGTTGAGCAGCTTCAGATTTTTGAAGTTTGTGTGCCCTAGTTTCTGGTGCCACAGCTCTACTTCACTTACTCTTGAGCTCTTGCATGAGATGGTGTCACCTGGAACCTGGAACCTGTCAGTACACAATGATTTTGATTATCAAACACAGAAAAACAGTATGTATCAAATTGAACACGTAGATCATCATCACACAATTGACTAATACTGATGAGATTTGACCCCAATCCTTCAACATGTAAGACATTTGAAAGTTTTGGAAGTCCCTCAATACTGAGTGTTCCACATCCAACCACTTTGCCTTTAGCTCCTCCTCCATAGGTTACACGTCCACCATTGAGTGTATGGTAGTTTGATAGAAATTCTTTAGTTCCAGTCATGTGCCTAGAGCATCCACTATCAAAGTACCATGAACCTGAAATGTTAGCATTTAAAGAAGTGTATACTGCTTTGCACATAAGTTTACCTTTGAGAGTCCATATTCTACACTATTTTTTGGTAAATTCTACATTTTTCTTTGAGGTGTTCTCTGGAGTGATGTGACTCATCCTGTACAACATTTTGTCACTACTTAGTTTCTCACAAAATGGACGGATATGTCCTGGTGAGAAATAGTAATGACAAATGTATCCTCTTGTTCTGGACTCTGGAGGGGTGACTGTGCAATTTCTGCATTCTTTTCCATTTGAACCCTTCTCTTTTACAAAGACTCTTTCTTCTTTACTGGATTGTGTTTCTTCACTTGTTTTTTGAACCCTAGACCTTCATTTTGTTGTACTTCTCCAGTGACACAATCTCTTCGAGTTTAGTTGTGCCGGTATTCATCCTCTTGATTGCTAGAGTTGTTTATTTGAGTTCAACTTTCAGCTTTGCCAGTTCAAGATCCTTCTTGGTGATACCAACCTCCAAATGTGTGATTGTTTCTTTAAGGGAAAATTTTTCCTTGTTGGCTGCATCTAGAGCATGAGTCTTCTTCTCCAAGTCGCTGAACAATTTCTTATACATTTCTTCCTCATCTCCTGCTGCTTCTTTACTGTATTCTGCTGCATTCAAAGAAATAGAGTTCAAACATGTATAATGATTAGTATCTAACTTAGAAATTTCAGTTACTGAAAGTGTTTCATAAAGTGTTGCAGCATCTAGAGAAACTCCTTTTGATTCTGTTTCAGAAGAATTTTCAGTGATATATCTGACAGAAAGAGCCTGTTTAGTGGGCTGCTGCTCCTCTGTCTGTTCAGGTTGCTCTTCCTTCTCATCACTGACAGCACAAATTAGACTCATTCCTCTTTTTCTCAAGGTATTTGCACATTTATTAGCATAATGTCCAAATCCTGAACATGCCCTGCATTTAATATGATCCAAGTTAGGTGGTTCAGAATTTGAACGAATAAATGGAGAATTTTTTAAAGTGTTTTGAGAAGATGTTTGAGGAAATGTTCTCTGTGGAATAGATCTGTTCCGGGGCTGAGTTTGTCGATTTTGTGGAGAGCCATCTGGAAATAACTGTCTGGGCTTGATTCCACTTCGTCTGTATGCCCTATTGAATTTCTGAATCTGAAATGCCACATTGTTGAGACATTGTTGAGACATTCCTCTGCATCATCATCATATTCCGTAGCAACTTCTTCCTTTTCTAATTCTGCCTGAAGTGCATTTGAGATAGCCTTACCTTTCTCCTTTCTTTTGATCTTCAAAGTTCATCTCTCTAGACTTTAAGCTACCAATTAATTTGTCCAGACGTAGAGATGATGTGTCTTTGGCCTCCTCAATTGCAGTAATTGTCATGCTGAATCTTTCTGGAAGAGTTCTCAGTACCTTATTCACCAGTGTCTCATTGCTCAAAGGACCACCCAAGGATTGAAACTCATTAGCTAAATCAATCAATTTCTCATTGTATTGAGAAATTGTTTCAGTTTCTTCCATCCTCAGTCTCTCAAATTTGGAAGAGAGTAATCTGAGCTTAGTTCTTCTGACACTGTCTGATCCTTCACAATGTAGCTGAAGAACCTCACATGCATCCTTCGCAGAAGTGCACACTGAGATCAATTTAAACATTGTTAAATCTACTGAATTAAAGATTGCATTTAACGCCTTTGAGTTTTGATTGGCATTTGATAGATCGTCTGTTGTTCACCGTAATTCTGGTGTTGGAAATACATCCCCATCCACATATGTGATAGTTGGTGGTTTCATCCAGTAAGAATAGATCTCCAGGCTCTCTCATCAATGGCTTTGATGTATGCCCTCATCTTGACTTTCCAGTAGGTGTAGTTTGTGCCATCAAGTACAGGAGGTCGCATAGAAGCAGTCATCTGAGTATCCATCACGAATTCGTTTCTGAAAAAAAAAGGAACAAACACTTAGTATACGTCAAGTGTTGGCTCTGATACCAATTGAAAGAATTTATGGTCCTGAATTCGTTTAATACAGAGGTGTTATATTAAGTGTTATGACACTTGTATAAACATGCAGCGGAAATATAAAAGCAATACTCAGATGTTAAAAATGTTCACAAGTAAAACTTGTGAACTTGCCCTTTAACGGACGTAAAAATTATATTAAAACAGTATTACAAGAATACAAAGAGTAGAAGTACAAAAACTTCTTCCTTATGAATGAATCACTAGCTTGATCTGAATGCTACTGGGTCACAACGCCGGAGGGGAGGAAACTCTCCCAGCAGGGGCGGCAGAGGTGGAAGAAGAGGCGGTAGAGGCGGTCGTACCCTTGTTAGGCCAAACCCACCAAGAGGCCTTCATTTGGTTGATGAAGAAACAGATGATGAAGCAGGAGATCCTACCTTTGCAGAACCAGAAGCCCAAGCTCTCTCCTCAGGCTCAACTGAGTCATGCTCCAATGACTCGACTCCACCAGCATCAACTCAGGGGGAGACACTTAAGCCTAACATGGCAGCAGCCTCTTCTCAACATCCTGTTTCTGAAGATGTTGCTGCACATGTTCCTGAAAATGGTGCTGCACCTACTGTCTCAGACAATGCCCCTCAGAGTGCTGCTGAGGATGCTGCTCCCTACCAAGATCAGGAAATGCCAGACTTTTCTGGGATGTCCTCTGCTGAGCATGTAGATATTCCCACTGTTGATGCCCAGGACTTTACCACCACCGAAAAAACACCCTCAGCTCCACATGAAGATCCTCTGGAAACTCTGGCGGAGGCAGCTGTTCAAGTGGATGCACTACCTTCCCAGGTTGAAGAGGAAGAGAAAAGTGATGACAGCTGGGAAGTGCCCCTTGCCTCTTTCCGCAACAATTTGCCATCCTCAGAGTCAGACAATAACTCTTTTGACTCATCTCAGATGGAAGAAGATGCTGCTCCACCTGTTGCATCACCTGAGCCAGCATACATCCCTGATGAACTTGAAGACTCTGAAGAAGAGGAACCCTCAGAGGATGAAGATGGAGACTTGGATGGGAAGGATCTGTCAACTCCTTTTGAGGTAAACAATGCTTTTAGTCCTATCTTTTATTTTGAATCTGATTCAATCATGGGTCCTCAAATCATGAATTGCCAATTCATTGAGGAAAAGAAAATTTCCAAGGATGAGTTTGATAGGAATAGGATCACTGCTTTTCTTGATCAAAGAAAAATCCTTAGTCTAGTTGAGATTGCCTGTCCTTATAATCCCTCTGTTGTGAAGGAATTTTATGCCAATTTACAAACCTCCTTTTTAAAGAAAAATTCTCCAAACTTTGGAAAAGTTTTTGTGCGAAATTTTATTTTCTCCTTTTCTCCCAAAATTATCAACTATCACTTACAAACTCCTACTGTGATTGATGAGGATAATCATGGTGATTTTATTGAGGTTTGTAAGACTCTTTCTGGCAATTGTCTAAAATCCTGGCCTGCTCACCCCAAAAAATTCAAAGTTTCTCAACTTACTGCATTTTACTGTGTCTTGTTCAGACTCACAGTGATAAATTGGATTCCATCCAAAAATGTCTCTGTGATTACTAAATCTCATGCAGTACTCATGTACAAATTGGGGATGGGGTTACCTGTTGATTTTGGCAAACTTTTCTTCAATAACATAGGTCATCTTGCCCAGAAAATTTCTTCATCCACTCATCTTCCCTATCCTTCTCTCATCTACTCCATTCTGCTTTCTCAAAATTTGGGCCAAGATGAATCAGAATATCTTCACACTCCACATGGCATGATAACTGTCTCTCAAAATTTTCTCAAAGCTCCTCATGTCCAAGATCTTCCCTGGAATGGAGATAATTTTCTCCCAACTGAATCAGGTCAAAATAATCTTGGTACTGAAGGTGTTGCTCCTCATGTTGACAACACCCCCGAAATCCTTGTTTTTGTTCCTCGAGATCTTTTGTTAAGACATCTTACTCACTCCCTAGCTCAGATCACCTATCATCAGTCCATGGTGGAGATGCTTCAGAAAGCTCTTTCTAATCAAAAAGGGGGAGAACAAGCTAGTCATGAAGTTGAAGCAGGGACTTCTCATCCTTTGGATGACAGAGGCAGAGAGCATGGAGTTAATGAAGAAGAAGAAAATAATGAGGGTGAGGCTGAAGGAGCAGAGGAAAGCAGTGAGTCCAGTGCTAGTGATGGAGGAACAACAGCTGATATTGAGGATACCTTGGATATTCTACTTTAAAGTTATTTTTATGAACAATATTTGTTTTTGTTCACTTTGTTATTTTCCCTCTGAACTTTTATGCTAGGATTGCACTATTTTGTTATTTGCTATATTGATTATCATATTCAGGGGGAGTTCAAGCAATGACTCGGGGGGAGTTAAGCTAAAATTTAGTTTTGATCAGAAAGTTAAAAAGGGGGAGATTGAAACACGTGGATTTTCACGAGTGTTTTTAACTCTCTTATTTTCAAACTAAATTTTAGTTATGGTTAAGTGCTTAGTGGGCTAAGTAGTGCTCAGTGGGTTAAATTGTGGATATTATCTTAACTACTAAACTAACCCACTAACCCATGTTCTTGAGTTCTCTTGTAGTCGGTTTTCTTGCAGATCATGGGCTGAGGAGTGGAAGCTTGGAATGTCTATAACTACCGACTTCAAGACTCAAGGAAAATTGATCGATTCCAAGAAATAAACACCGAGAGCTGAAAAGAATACATGAGTGTTTTAGTGTATTTTTAGAATCGGTTGGTTGTACTCCTCATGAGTACAATCTTTGTAGTCTAGATTGTTTAGTATATAGTTTTTATGTTTCTAGACTTGGTTGTAAGAATGATCAAGATAGTGATTCATTCATAGGGATTCGAAGAAACAAAAACCGAGAGCTGAAAATAATTCATGAGAGTTTTAGTGTGTTTCTAGAATCTGTTGTACGTACTCCTCACGAGTACATTCTTTGAAATCTAGAATTTTTAATATTTATCTTTTTGTTTCTAGATTTGATTGTAAGAATGATCAAGCTATTGATTCATTCACAAGGAAGAAGTTTTTGTACTTCTTCTCTTTGTATTCTTGTAATACTGTTTTAATATAATTTTTACGTCCGTTAAAGGGCAAGTTCACAAGTTTTACTTGTGAACATTTTTAACATCTGAGTATTGGTTTTATATTTCTGCTGCATGTTTATACAAGTGTCATAACACTTAATATAACCTCTGTATTAAACGAATTCGGGACCATAAATTCTTTCAGCGACAGCGGGTTATAATTAATATAGTGTCTCAGGTTAATAATCTTGAATCATATATTTCATAATTGAGGGGTTTTGGGTGAGCAATTCTTGCATAGGGGGAAGATAAAATCCCAGGTCCGTTTTTATTGATATTTTCTCGTGTTTATTTGCTTTCATAATTAGTTTAATTATTTAGTTGATTAGATTTGACAACTTTGCTTAGGCTGGATAAAAATCATAGTTGTTAGAATTCGGTACTTAGGATTAGATAATTTGAGTAGTCCCTGTGGGATCGACATCCAACTCTCACGAGTCCACTTTTACTACTTGTTTGCGATACGTGCACTTGCGTGTTAGGTATTTAGCCCAACAGAGTCACACTTAGAGAGGATTACATGGAAACAAATCCCACTCCTTCTATAACTCTATATAGTCAAAAATTGCAGTCCAATGGGGACTTAATTTTCGGCCATATTAATTCCAATATATAATATTGGTTGAATTTTATTTTCTCGATTAATTAGAAAATCCATTGGGCTACAATAGGGATTAAAGGAGAAAATATAAATCGGGCAAATAATTATTAATTAAATCCAAACTCTTAAAAGAATTCATTTAATTAATCATTAAATAATAATTTATTTTCCACTACCAAATAATTATTAAACTCCCGTTTATACTCTCAAATATTACATTCGAGCTTCGGTCAATCATTACTTAGATTCTCCCCACATTAAGAAGTTTTATAACCACCAAATAATTTATTCACCGCTAAATAAATTAAATGGTTTATTTTCATGACTCTTACTCTCTTAACTTATTTGAGTATGCCGGATACGAAATCCACCTGGCCAGACTTGGCATAAACAAATCTTATAAGCTACTCAAGGGTTATTATCAATCCTATATTTCAGAGATGTGGATTCCTTTCGATAATTAATTTCCACCTATTAATTCTTAATGTCTCTACCCAACGACGCACTGGGGGCCATTTGACTCAATATAGGAATATCTCCCATTGTGACATCAAAGTAGAGATCATTAATGAAACGTGTACGTTAATTATCTAGGGATTAAGAGAGTAAGTAATTTACTGTCAACTAGAAATAATACAGTTATGAACAGTGATGAAACAATTATTTCACTTGTCCGGTTCAACACATGCTGGGTGTGCTAGCACAATAAGTCAAAACAATAACTACAAAAGTTATTCTGTGTTTACTGTGATCAAGACCAATCACTTAAATATTGTGCTACAATCTTTTATCAATGGTTAATCCATTTCCATCTAGATTCTGAACGTTTATCTTTATATTCTAAACGAACTTTCGAAATGATCTTTATGTGCGCCGTAGCACACCATTTCGAATACTATTAGAATATTAGACTTATGCTTTTAATTAATTGACAAACAATCAATTCAATGCATTGAATACCCTAGTGCAGATTCTCATAAAATGAAAATATACTATTTTATTAATTCAATAATAAAATTATGTAGCTAAAAGCGAGACTTTTAGTCTACTATCCTAACGAAAGATACATGTGACGATTTTGAAAATTGAAAGATTGTTGGAATACCAGATAATAAACAAATCGGATATAGAGGGCCGGTATCCAACTAGGATCAAATGTGTGGTTTGATTCCACTAGTGAAAAGATGCTCGTGACATGTTTATTATTCAGGTACATAAATTAATCTTTGAAGGATCCAATAAAACGAAAAATGTATTTTTCACGATGTTCATAAAACCGGCATTTTAGTCATTTTGCGTGAGTAAGTGTTTATGTGTGTGTGATGTGTCTTCGTGACTAATGTGATTTCCCGATTGTCTTAGGGTGCGCGGATTATGAGTAAGGATAATTATATAATATTATATATTATATAACGTATTTTCAAAGTTCGATATCTAATCGGATTTCTTACGGAGCTTTATAGCTCATATAGATGCCTTTTAATTGCAGGTAGTAGTAGTAACCCTCCATCGGAATGGATAGAGTAGCGGATCGAGGTCTTGCCCGAAATTTTTAGAAGTAGTACGAGGGCCTGTGAATAATGCTAAGACATTATGCTTATTTTAGTGATGTAATATTAAACATACTTATTTCCCTTTCCGTATCTTTTGCTTATCGAACGAACTTAAAAACTGGTATGGACCGTACGTTGCACTTCATTATATAACTGCTCCGTTTAGTAATTAGTTAAAGTTTTTCTTTAAACGTTCACCAAAATAGTTTCAAAATTCTGATTTCTTTTCGAACCAAATATAAAATAGATAGTTAGATAGTGTAGCACTTGAAACAAATTCCTCCTTTCGAAAATTGTTTTCAAACGAAACTTTTAGTCTACTAAAGTACTCCTAAGAAAGTTTTCGAAAATCACAAAGATTTCAAATATCCTAAAGAAGAGATTTTTAATAAATACATTTTAGTCCTATTCCAAAGTTTTAAAAATTACAAAGAGGTCGTTTTGCTTCCGCTATTTAAATAAGTATTCCGATAAACTGGTTCGATTTATCGCCCGAATAAAAGGGGGTGCTACAAAGTTTAGTATATTTTTTTATGGAATTTTATCATAAAAAATAATAGAATTTAATTTGTTAAAATAGTAAGATTTAATCGATTTAGCATTTTTGGACCTACTTATAAGGGTAGTTCCGTCTTTTCATATTTGTTGAGGGGGGTTTCACTAATTAAGATTTGATTTTGTTAAGCCAACTGCATTATCGTCGTCCAACATCCCCTTCCCAATACCGGGTATATTGTACGACATAAACACGTTATTCCGGTGTAATCCATTACACTTAGCGCTGACATAACCAATTAAATCTTCAAAATTAAACTTGCCAGCCCAATCTTTTACCCCAAAAACACAATCATATTTGAGAACCAGTGTCACCGATAAAGACATAAACATGAAATCTGGCCAACATTATTACATATAACTACTCTGTGAAAATATCCATTTCTGGGAAACATCTACGCAAAGTCACTACATGAACACATATAACAATAAAAACAAGCGAAAACACAAGTCTACATACATCATATACAAAATATATAGATATATAATTGTGCGTGCACGTATAATTCCGATGGTGTAAAATAATCCGTACATACAGAGAACGACACATGGGAAAAATGCATGGCTAAACAACACAATAACTCCACCACATGAAGAAAAAAAAAACCGATTGCTACGGAAATCGATCTCTCACATAATTGTTTCTAAAACAGAAACTTCTAATACGCCGCAGGTTTTCCGCCTATGAACGAGATTGTAGCGGTCGTGTTACGTAAATAGAATAACGTACATGTTTAAAAAAGGCCTACAAAGGGTATTTTGGGTACATCAAATCTGTCGAGGGGGTATGTCAAATTTATTATCCAAATGGAAGGAGTTTGCACTAAGGTTAAACAACATGGTAATTAGTTATATATAATTTCAAAATGAGGGAGGTCTCCATAATAATCCCATAAAATAATCTTATACGTTCCTAACTAGTATGTTGTCATAGCATTAAAATAATATATATATTATGTATTTTATTATTAACCTAATCGATCGGGCCTTATTTGGGTTGAGCTAGCCATAATAAGCTCAAACTCGACTCATAAATAAATCGAGTTTAGTAAAATGACTCAAACTCGGTCCAGCTCACTAAAAAGTAAGTTTGGTCCAAATATAATCGGGCCGACCATCAGACTTTAGTTAGGCCTGACTCAGGGCCGGTTCTGAGGGGATGCGAAGTAGGTGGTCCCCTAAAGCCCCGGAATTTTTACGAAAATTTAGGGCCCCCAAATTATATACACTTTATATATTAATACTTATTTTTTAAAATTTATTATATATAATATTTTGGAACATCAGTTCTAAAATAAATTTAAAATAAATGAGTAACAGATATTTTCATAATTTTCTTAACTTGGCCCCCTAAATATTAAATTTATAATGTTTTAATTATTTATTTTTATAATGGATCCTTGTTCGGACTCTTCTTTTCACTCT